TGTGCCTCGCGTTGCAACGAAGATTTGGTACCGCTATTGTCTGCCACTTGCAGCAGCAGGAGGAGGAAGAGGAGGAGGAGGAGGAGAGGAGGAGGAGGAGGAGAGGAGGGGGAGGTGGTGGTTCATCTTCCAGGCAAGTCCTCCCATGGCGTTTCCTGATGTGATGTGCTCAGGGGTTCACTGCCAGTTTACTTCTCGCAAGATTTTGCTCCACCATTCCGACAGTTTATGGCCCAATTCCAGTTTATAATTAAAGCCTTGGGCACTGGGGCTCCTTTTCAACCAAAAAAAAAAAGAAAAAAAAAAAAAAAAAGGGGATCCGATTAGAATCCATCGTCCTCCGTACTATAGATCGTTGCTTAATTAAAGGGACGAAAGGCGTCGTCCTGTTGATTTCCTAATATGAATTGATTTGTTAAAAAAAACAAACAAACAGAAAAAAAAGAAGGACCCGATTGGAGCACGTGAACGTGATGTTTCAAATGCAGCTGCCTCTTTCATCTTGCTTTTCAGTCTTGATGACGTCTCTGCTTCACTATGGATAATCTGTCTAGGAGTGTGCTCCTGCTCCCTATCTATCAGTCTATGAGTTTGCTCCAACTTGGCTGTGCTGCTGTGGTCAGTCGACGCTTCCTGGATGTAAACGTTGTATCAAGCTTTCTGTGTTCAAGAGCAAGTGTTGGCCATTGCTTTCTTCTTTCTTCTGTCCGTGTGTCTGCACGGTTTCTGCTTGTCATCTGCCTGCCCGTGCGTGTGTTCGTCTTCTTCTGACTGACCGTTCTTTCCCTCTCTTTTTTGTCTCTCTCTCTCCCTCTCTCGCTCTGTGTGCCCATTTGGTTTTATTCGTCGTCTTTATCGATTCAATAGAAATCTACGCTGTCTCTTCGGAGGCATTCTTTTGTAAGCAAAGACATGCAGACATACTCCAGAAAAGTCACAGTAGGGCCTCAAAAATGGAGTCGTCTGTGCAAATATCCCTCGATTTCTTCTTCTTCTTCTTCTTCTTCTTCTTCTTCTTCTTCTTCCTCTTCGTTTCACGGGACTTGGAAGGTGTGAAACGTAATGAAGATGGCGTTTGGCCTGATCTCACTCCGTCTTCTGAGTGTGTGTCTCTCAGTTTGTTTGCAACTGTGCAGTGTTTCTGTCTGTCCGGGGTCATGAAATGTATGTGTATCTAGGCTACCAGAGTGGCCCGGGGTCACTTGCCTGGCCGGGCCAAAAACAAAAAATCCAATAAATAAATAAATAAATAAAATTTATTTTTTATTCTAAATTTGGTGCAAAATTTCGATGTGACCCTGAGGCAAAAGTTGTTCAGTTTATTTTTCTGCATAACATAGTTTTTTTTTCCGAATATTTTGGATTCTTTTTTTTTTTTTTTTTTTTTTTTTTTGGCTGGGACCTTCCCTGGTCCTTGCACGGTCTGCCCGGGTGGCCCGGCTGGTAGCCTAGATGTGTATGCATGAGGGTGTTGTCTGCAGACTGCTGGCTGCATGGTCTGCAGACAGCAGAGAACACTGTAGAACCAGCACTGTGTATCGGTATGTGTGTGTTTGTGTGTGTGTGTGTGTGTGTGTGTGTGTGCGGGTGTTTGTGGGAGTCTGTGTGTTATCGTATTCGCTAGAGTGAAATCCATCAAAAAAGAACCGTGCCACGCTATTTGTGTGTGTGTGTGTGTGTGTGTGTGTGTGTGTGCGTGTGTGTGTGCGTGTGTGTGTGCGTGTAAGCTCTGCAGATGCGGAATGCAGCCTGTGTGTGTGTGTGTGTGTGTGTGTGTGTGTGCGTGTGTGTGTGCGTGTGTGTGTGCGTGTAAGCTCTGCAGATGCGGAATGCAGCCTGCCATCTGCACGGTCTGCAGACGGCAGAGAACACACTTCAGGACAAGTAGAGAGTGTGTGTTGTCATGTTTGCTATATGTGTGTGTGTGTGGTGATGTCTGTCTGCAGTCTGCAGACACAGAATGCAGACTGCAGTCTGCAGACACAGAATGCAGACTGCAGTCTGCACTGTCTGCAGACCGCAGAAAACCTTACCTTACCCCAAAATTGAATTCATCTCCAATTTTCCACCCCTCGGCCCCAGGTGCCGCCCAAATTTGGGACATGCCAAGAACCACACAATCAGCCCACATTTTGGCGCACTGGGCAAATACAAAAAGAAAAGAAAAGAAAAGAAATCGCTGGGTTGCGGTCAACCAGGCCTCCTGGGGCGTGGTCCCACTAGCAAAGAGGATCGGATCCAATGCCTGAATCTGGACGAGTTTATGGAGATGTGCAGGAAACCGAGATTGAACTACTTTTCTGCATCTCTGCTTAAAACACATCCAGATTCACGAGCTCGATCCTATCCTTTTTGCTAGTGGGACCTCGGCCCTGCTGTTCGGCCGTGCAGCTAGGCCCGGGCAGGTCTGGTAGCCTACGTAGTTAAAAAAAAAAAAAAAAAAAAAAAAAAAGCCCTGCCTAGTTTTTGTATACTTCAAATTATTTTGTTCAAATTTGTTGTTGTTTTCTTACTTCAGAGGTTTCTCTGCTTTTTAATCCTACATAACCCCCCCCTAATATTATTGTTATGGACATTATTATTATTATTATTATTATTATTATTATTTGCATCCCTCTGATTTCACCAGGCTTTGTCAACAGTTACATGTGTGTGTGTGTGTGTGTGTGTGTGTGTGTGTGTGTGTGCCATTCAGACACACACTGGGTTTTCAACCATTTATCGGCGCGCTTTGTCAGTGATACACTTCTGTGATCTTTTCAATGCGCTGTGGGCCAGTGGGCATGCTATATAATAAGTAAAATCTTTTTTCTTTGTCTCATTCCAATTTTAACGGATTTGGGCTTTTTTTTGGGGGGGGGGCCCTCGACGTGAATGCCAGCAGCAGTAGCATCAGCATCAGCGACTTCTTTCGGGGCTGATCGTAATCATCATCATCATCATCACGGCTGTCATCGTCCTCCATTGAGACCATCCTGCCATCGCCAAGCTCACGACAGACTTCTACACCGACGCACGGGGGTCATCACGTCTTTTGACTCTTTTGAAAGGCACGCCAGAGCCAGACATTAGGGAAGGGGAGAGAGAGAGAGAGAGAAGGGAGGGAGAGGGAGGTGTTGGGGGGAAGGGGTGCGGTTTGTAATGAAGCTGGTATCCCTACAGCAGCTATCTGATGCACACACTGATGGGATCTGGTCGGTGGCGTGGGCGCCGCCCAATCCGTCGTCGCCACAGCCGATCTTGTTATCGGGATCTCTAGACGAAACTGTAAAGACCTGGTCGCTCAACGAAGATTCGTTGTCGTTAATTAGAACCAATCAAGGGCATGCTCTCGGCGTAGTGGGTGTTGCGGCGGATCCGACGGGCAGGCTAGCTGCATCTTCCTCCCTCGATTGCATCGTACGGCTATGGGACATCGAGACCAACGAGACGAAGGCTTTGTTCGAGAGCCCGCCGTCGGAATCTTGGGGATTGACCTTCGATCCCGACGGCAAATCCCTGGCAGTGGCAGGCGGCAGCAGCCGTACGATCAAAGTCTGGTCTATGGAAACCCTAAACGAGGAGGTTACGATGGAGATTCCCAGGAATGCGGGTTCCAGCGAGACTATGCTTCCTCCTCAAAGTAGCGCAGCCATAGCCGCCGCCGTTGCAGGGAAGTTCGTCTTGGCAGTGGCCATATCAGCCGATGGAAGACGGCTTGCCGCCAGCACCATGGATGGCACGATTGCCATCTTCGACATGTTCAAGGGGAAGATGCTTCACACGCTGAAGGGGCACTGTATGCCGGTTCGATCGCTGGCGTACTCTCCTGTGGATCCACGTGTCTTGCTCTCCGCGTCGGACGATGGACACGTGCACATGTATGATGCAGAGAGCCGGTCGTTGGTGGGCGCAATGTCGGGACACGCGTCATGGGCGCTGAGCGTCGCAATTTCACCTGATGGCCAGGCAGCTGCCAGTGGGTCTAGCGATCGTGTCGTCAGACTCTGGGATCTTGGCACGCGCTCCTGTGCTCAGGTGCTCAACGACCATCAGGACCAGGTGTGGGGTGTTGCCTTTACCGCTGCGGCCGCTCCCGGCGAGAAGATGCGGGGTTACAGACTTGTGACAGTCTCTGATGACAGAAGCATTGCCCTATACGACTATTCTTGACTGAAATCTCCGCAATATACACACATATACGTGGGAAAAAAGAAGAGCGAGCGAGCGAGCGAGCGAGCGAGAGAGAGAGAGAGAGAGAGAGAGAGAGAGAAAGAGAGAGAGAGAGAGAGAGAGAGAGAGAGAGAGAGAGAGAGAGAGA